GGGGGGGGGGGGGGCTGAGGCTGAAGGGCTGAGGCTGGCGTGGTGTGTGGTTCCTGCTGACCTCTCTAGAAGTGGCCAGACATCCAGGAATGGTGTAGTGGGGATGGGTCATGGCCGGTGCTTTTCCTCAGCCAGCTCTCAGTCCCCCAATGGCCTCTTTAAGGCTCCATCCAGCTGGCTCTTTTGGGAAGGGCTTTAGAGGACAGTCCTTGGGGGGGTTGCGATACAGGGGCCCTCTGGCTGACTGCCTTGGTGATTGCGGGGGAGCTGGTCTCTAGGTCTTACAGCTGCCTGCCTGGCGGAAAGGGGAACCCTTGTTTTATGGAGGAGAAGCCTGTGGAAGGGACCAGGAGTGACTCTCTCAAAGGCATTCTGGCCATTGTGGCAGAGCTGTAAGGGACAGGCCTCTGGTTGGGGACAGTGGGCAGCTGGCCCAGCCAATCCTGGGCTTTAGGACTTTGGGTAATTCAGTTTCCCTCTCTGGGCTTCAGTTTCTCCATGGACAAAAGATACAGGATTATTTTATGAAACCAGCAATCTCCCCCAAAATTGATCTACAAATTGATGCTGATCAGTGACAAAGTCTGGATAAAATGCCAAAAAAAAAGCAAAAAAAAAAAAAAAGCAGGGGGATAGTATGAGGCGTTTTTTAATGCAATTGAATTTATGGAAGTTTTTGCTGAAATTATTCCTTTCTACTTTTTGGTGCTAACCTGTCCTTTCTTTTAAGAAATAATGGTGGTTTAGGATGATAGTTGTTGATTTTAGATTTGACAAAGTTAAAAGTTGACAACCCACGGTCTGAATGTTTTGGACATTTCACTAGTCTTGAGAACCTGGTATGGGGACAGCTGAAATCTATAGCCCCTACCAGCTAAGCAGGGTTCCAGGACCCCTGTGACACTCACCTCCTCTGTCCTCTCCTCAGGTCCCGGGCTGCCTCTCCTGGGCAGACCAACGGGGAGAGCTCCATGGAGGTGCTGGCAACACGGTTCCAGGTAGGATGGTGCCTCCGGCTGGGAGGCCTGAGGGACAGGGCCCAGGGGGATGGGCAGACCACTCTTTATGGTCCTTGTCTCCACAGGGCTCAGTGAGGACACACACCAATAGCCAGTCCTCCCTCTGGTCCTCCTGTTCCAGCCCAGCCTCCCTCAGCCCCCCGCCATGCAGCCCCTTCCCTACCCAGCCCCCCACCAGCCCGCATGCCCCTGCTGGAGAGGCAGTGATGAGCCGAAGGTGAGTGCAGGGGCTGGGCACCCTGGCTGCCACGCCCAGGCCAGGCCTCTGAGTCTCAACAGCTGTGTTAAGGGGACCCTGGAGGTACCCTCTGTTTTTGGGGGGCAGTCCGGAGGTGAGGCTTGGCACACACATTATGCATTTTCCCCTTCAGTTTCCAGAGCCTGGCACACACCCCGGGACTCACTGCTGCTGACCGCCTGCCCTATGGAGGCCACCTAGGAAGCCGACAGGTGAGGGGACTGTGGGGAGGAGAGAGCCTCTCAGCCCACTGACTGTCAGTGGTACCTGTGGGGCTGTAGGTGGTTGATCCCACCTAGGCAGCTGGGCCTCTGTCTCCTAGCAGCAGACACTCCCCTCTCCTGAGCCAGGAGGTCATCCTGTCTGCTGGTGGGTCACCTTGGCTGTTCCAGCCCTGCCCCACTGGTCCCAGGTGGCCTTCTACCACCTCGCTCCCACTCACCGCCGCCTCCCTGCTCCCAGCTCCCTACTCCCCGTTGGCTTCCTCCCTTCTTGAGTGTTTCTCTTGGGTCTGGACTGACATAGTTTTGCTGCTGTTGTTGGGATGGTTCCCTTTGGCTCTGGCTGCATCCCTTGAACACATTCCTCCCCGTTCCAGCCCCATGTCTGCCCCAACTCCACCACCCCAGCCCCTTCTTTTTCCTCTGGCTCAGCCCAGGGAACCACCAGCGGGATTGTGGTTCTGCCTCAAGTTGCACTTGGCCTACTCCCTGTCTGCCCCACCCTGCCTTCCTCCCCTGGGTCCCCCACCCCAGGTCCCACTGTCCA